ACGGGGGGCTCAGAGCCTCCTCCCCACCCCATTTTTAGGTTTTTGGATAGGAAAACTACAACAGAGGAGCTGTTTCGCTGCCATGCCAAAACCAAGGCAGGCACCATCCCTACTTCTGTGGCAACTCAAGACTTTTGCTTGCTTTCTTTCATTTTTGGGCCTTCAAGAGGTGGCGAATCTTTCAAGAGGTGGCGAACCTTTCAATTTTCCCCATAAGCTCTCTGAAGCCTCCACTGCCTGCAAAGCCATTTTAAAGATTCCCCATTTTTGTGGTTTTGCCTTTGCAGTTTCCCTGGCTCCACAAAGCCACAAATGATGCTGCCTATGTGGGATGCATCAATACTATTTTCACCCTGTCCTCAGAGCCCCTCTGGTTCCTCCCAGCGCCTGTCACCATCGTGGTCCAGCAGCCGAATTAGAAAACACTGCCTGGGGACGGACACATCAATCCTCAAGAGATTTTATCTGAGTTGCTGCCATCCTCACTCTGCTCCCCCAATTGACCTTGAGCTCTATTTAATACAAAAAGCAGCGTTTCTCCTCCATCCCAGCCTACCGTGCCTTCCCCATCCCACCCATCATCTGCCGCAGGAGAACCAGCATCCTCCCCACAAAGCTCTCCCCTTCGTCCTCCACCAGTGGGCATCTTGCAGGGGCCAGATGTTGGCTTCTCATTTCTCCAGGTCCTCTTCGAGCCCACCACCACCTCCATTATTACTCTCCCAAGCCCCTCTTTGACCCATGGTCTTTCCCATCCTTGGCTTCTCTCACCTCTCTTCAAGGTTGCCTCATGCCTCTTTGAAGTGTGAGTTTGACCCTAAATCCTTGGGTAGGGGAGAAACGGGGTTGGGGGTCTCCCCCACCAAAAAAATCAGAGAAAATAGGTTCTTGGGGCAAAAAATATCACAACATTTTGACATTTTTGAGGGATGGGGGGAATGGCATGGCCAGGGTGCTCTGGGGCTCGGTGCCTGTGGTACCTTGGTTGGTTCAGAGGGTGCTTTGCCCCACAAATCAGACTAAAAAGCCAATTTCCCCCTAGAATAAAAACAGAGGAAAGAGGGAACAGCCCGAAACCAGGTAGGATGCCTTCACACAGCGTCTACACCTCTCCCTCGTCCCAGAGTCCCCTCTCTCCCCCAAGGACAACGAGATGAGCACCATGTCTGTGTTTAGGAAAGAAAAATAAAGATGATTTATTTTCTTTCCAAGGGGAAAAATCCTGATGCTTTGTGGAAAGCCAAGAGGGCCCACACGTGTGACCCACACCTGGATGTCGCTGATAGTCAAAGGTTTTTATTTTTTATGGAAAAACAGAAATTTTCATATCTTACACTACAAAAAAAACCCCACCCCATGAACACAAACAAAAATGCAGAGAGCATCCAAGGAGGAGGGGGAGAGGGGAGGAATAAATACAGCAATGCTACAGCCTCCTATAGCTAAAACGCTGCTGTGGGGAGCCGAGACTGGGGCTCTGGTGGTGCTGGGTGCCCCAGCTCCTGCCCTACCTGCCCTAGGGAGCTGCCACAAACTGAGTTAATCGAGGGTTGGGAAATAAGCATTACTGCTAGGACTGCTACTGATGTATCTTACACACAAATTAACCACTAATTTCAAGTCCAAGGAGTCACAATTTCTTGACCACTGGGACTTCTACATTATAGTCAACACTGAAGAGACAAACCCCCAGATTTTACCTTCATTTTTTGTTATTATTGCTATTAACATAAAGAAGAAATAAATACAATTTTAATTTATTCTTTTTGTCTTCCTTTTTTTCTGAGCAGGTATTTTTTCCAGACAACGAAAGGGGGTCAGTCTACGCAAGCCATGCTTGGGGACACTTCCTTCTCCTGAAATGAAGAGCTATAGCGAAAAGAGCCTTCTCCACCTCTCAGACCCCTTGAAATAGCTTCCTTGCCATTAGCAGCAAAATATATTGGGGAACAAAGCACTGGTTGGACCAGCCGCAGCACTAGCGAGCTGGAAAAGCAAAGCACTCGAACTTAACCGTGGGCAGAAAACCCACCCAGAGCCCTTACCAAGAGCATAACCTGTAAATTATCACTGCCATCCCCTGCTACACCCAAGTATCTACGCCCATGCCCAAAACACCGAGTACTTGCAGTTCTTGGATGGGAACCCAAATCTTCCGTTGTCTCCATGAATTCGCTTGTGGACGTAGAAGCTGCAACGTTTGGACCCTGCTCATTAAAACATCATTTCCTTTTTATTTTTTAGCTCCAAGACAACGCTTGTTAGTACAGAGATCTGCAGCAAGAACAGCTCTTGAAATAAATATAAAAGGTTATTTATGTATTTATTGGAGGAACCAAGAAGAGGTGCCTTATTTACAAACGCGGTCTGGTTTAAGAACAGTTTCTTTTCCACGAGTCCATGGTTCTGAAGGTTACTCCGGCATCTGGTGTGCATCCCGGCCATGCCTCCAGCGCCTTTAAAACCCCACAAACAACGAAAGGGGATTTTGCTGTTCAAGTCCATGAAAAAAAAGACCAAACCCAACCCCTCCCACAGAGCCAGCGGGTAAGGGATGGGTGGCAACGATGGGCAGAAAGTGCTGAATATTTGCTACAAGCATCTCACGGTGTGGCCGATGGATGCAGGTGGTGACTGAGCAAGTCCTCCCGACGAAACGAGTCCTTTCTGCCTTCCTACGGGTTATTTTTCCGAGCGCTGCTGCCAGGGAGGCACAAATAATCCCGAGGCAGTTCTGCTGACAGCTCCGATAATCTTATTTATTATACGACAAATCTCTTTTACGCTCCGAAACTGTTA